GCCCCCCCCCCCCCCCCCCCCCCGCCTCCCGCACGGTCTTCGCCCACAGGACCCTTCGAGGATGCCCTGAGGCTGCACGAGTGCTCCGTGGCCGCGGGTCCGGCGGCAGCCCCCCTTCCCGTGGAGGACCAGTGGCCCAGCCCGCCGACCCGCCGGGCCCCCATCGCCCCCACGGAAGAGCAGCTGCGGCAGGAGCCCTGGTACCACGGCCAGATGAGCCGTCGGGCGGCGGAGAAACTGCTTCGAGTGGACGGGGACTTCCTTGTGCGGGACAGCGTCACCAACCCGGGGCAGTATGTCCTCACCGGCATGCACGCAGGGCAGCCCAAGCACCTGCTGCTCGTGGACCCCGAAGGCGTGGTAAGGTGGGCGTGGGGGCGGGGCAGGGGTGGGGAGGGGGCCGGAGGCTGCCTGGGGTGGGGTTGGGGTGGAGGGCCTGGGGCAGGTGTGGAGCCGGGCTGGGCAGGGAAGGCACCTGGCCTCTCCCCTCAGCCCAAGGCCCAGGGCGCCCGCCTTTTAAGCGCCCTTTAGGTTTAATGAAGTACGTTTCAGATTACAGAGCCCTTTGCTCTGTTTCCCTTTACCAGGTATTTTAGAATTACAAAGTATTTTGCAGTTTTAGAAGACTTTTAGGTTTTATGAAGGACTTTCCAGTCTATAAAGCATTTAGAGGAGTTACAAAACCTTTTCCAATCTCAAGGCCTTTTAGGACTTACAAAGTACCATATTCCATCATTCGCGAGATGCACTTTTTTCCCCCACATTCTATCATTGCTAACGCATCTTGCAAACAGTGACGTCTTTGAGCGATAAATTTGGTCGTTTCCATTTCTAACGTATCTGAGGGTTCACAAAGCACGTCTCCATTTACAAGGAGTTTCAGGGCCTGCAAGTTACGGAATTGCTTCAACCCTCTGGTACACACTTTCCTCTCATTTTGACATCTCTGAAGTCTTGATTTTTTTTAAACCATCCACTGCATCACTTTTTTTTTTTTGCGGTACGCAGGCCTCTCACTGTTGTGGCCTCTCCCGTTGCGGAGCACAGGCTCCGGACGCGCAGGCTCAGCGGCCACGGCTCAGGGGCCCAGCCGCTCCGCGGCATGTGGGATCTTCCCGGACCGGGGCACGAACCCGTGTCCCCCGCATCGGCAGGTGGACTCTCAACCACTGCGCCACCAGGGAAGCCCAACTGCATCACTTTTATCATGACTGAACTTGGAGGTTTTCTCCTCTCCTTGTGGTACATAAATTGTGAGGCATCTTGCAGCTGCCTTGAGTCAGTGAGGTCTGGCATATTCTATAGCTCCTAAGGCATCTTCGGGTTTACAAGGCATTTTCCGATCTACAAGGCGTGCTAGGGCTTTGAAGGGTTTTCCGTTGTCCGAGGGCCTTGGGCTCTGTGCTGTGTTTCCCTGGTGAGGAGCGTGGGGTGTTAAGGGCCTTCTCGGAGTTTAGCAAGTGCTTTACCACCTCCAGCTGAATCCTCGGCGCCGCCCTGGGGGGCTGCGTGTGCTCCGTGCCCTATACGGGGCACACGGGTGTGGCGACTGTGTGGCCTGGCCCAGGTGGGGCCACGGCTCCAGGCCCCTGTTCTGTCAGTTCCCTGAGCCACCTCCTCACTCGTGTCTGATCGCAGTGTTCACAGCTGTGACCTCAGCCTGGCGTGCTGTCAGCCCTCCCCCAGGCCTAATTCCCTCTCGGGTAAACAGATCTCCAGGATGAGAGACGCTATAGAAGCTTCAGAACCTCCTTACATACTTGGTTAACATGCAGGTTCCCAGGTCCTGTCCCCAGTGCCTGGGAAATAGGTGGTTTGCCGTGGGCCCAGGCATGTGCATTGCCAGCCCGCTCCCCTGGTGATTTGTGCCCAGCGAGTCTGGCATCGCCCATGAATGTCTGGCAGCTGGCGGCCAGCGGGTGTGTGTTGCGTCCGGGTCTATACGTAGGATGCTAAGACTTTCTCATTCTAAGATGCAGGTGGCTTTTAGATTTGGTGGTTCTGATTTTCAGATCCATGTCTACAAGATTCCTGGCGGGTATTCATTTCCTAGTACTGCCCTCCCAAATGATCACCAACCGGGCAGCTTGAAACCACAGAGATGTATTCTCTCCCAGCTCTGGAGGCCAGACGTCTGACACCAAGGCGTTGGCCGGGCTGGTTCCTTCTGAGGCTCTGAGGGAGGATTGGGTTCAGGCCTCCCCCTCAGCATCTCATGGTTGCCGGAAATTCTTGTTCTCTGGTTTGTGGACACATCACCCCAGTCACCGCCTCTGTCTTCTCGTGGCCCCTCCCTGTGTCTCTGTGTCCAAGCTTTTTCTCTTCTTATAAGGACGCCGGTCACTGGATTTGTGGCCACCTGAGTAATCCAAGATGAACTCATCCTTTTTTACTCTTTTTTAAAATTAATTTTTTAATTGAGGTATAGTTGATTTACGATGCTGTATTAATTTCTGCTATACAGCAAAGTGACTCAGTTATACATACGTATATACATTCTTTCCTACATTCTTTTCCATTATGGTTTTCCCAGAATATTGACTATAGTTCCCTGTGCTCTACAGTAGGGTCTTGTTATCCATTCTACGTATAATAGCTTGCATCTGCTAATCCCAAACTCCCAATCCATCCTTGCCCCGCCCCGCTCCCCCTTGGCAACCACAAACCTGTTCTCTATGTCTATGAGTCTGTTTTTGTTTTGTAAATAAGTTCATTTGCATCATATTTTAGATTCCACACAGAAGTGCCATCATATGATATTTGTCTTTCTCTTTCTGAGTTACTCCACTTAGTGTGATAATCTCTAGGTCCGTTCACGTTGCCGCAAATGGCGTTATTTCGTTCTATTTTATGGCCGAGTAGCATTCCGTTGTGCCTGTGGACCACATCTTCCTTATCCATCAAGGTGAACTCCTGTTAATCACATCTGCAAAGAGGGCTTTTCCAAACAACAGCCCATTCACAGGTTTCAGGGGTAAGATGTAGACATATACTTGGGGTGGGGGCACCATTCAACCCACTACAGGAAGCGTAGCCCCAGAGTGCCGGTGCTTTTGGAGCCTGTGTCCACACGTAGTTCTGGAATTCTGAGGCTGATTCTGTGGTTGAAGTCTCTGACCCAGCGGTTCTCAGCCTTGAGCGCGAGCTATCGGAGGGCTCGTGAAGACGCAGCTCCCCGTCAGCAGGTCTGGGGCTGGCCCGAGAGTCTGCCTCTCCGACAAGCTCCTGGTGGTGGTGATGCTGAGGCCTCTGGCCCCACAGGTGCGGACGAAGGACGTGCTCTTCGAGAGCATCAGCCACCTGATCGACTACCACCTGCAGAACGGGCAGCCCATCGTGGCCGCCGAGAGCGAGCTGCACCTGCGTGGTGTCGTCAGGCGGGAACCCTGAGCCAGGTGCGTCCGGCCCCGTGGGCTCCCAGCCCCCATTTGCCAGATTTTTCTCATCTTAAACACTAAGGTGCACACGCCACATAATTCACCCACAACTCAGTGGCTTTCTGAGCTGTGCCACCTTCCCCCATCTAATTCCAGAACATTCCGTCACCCCCAAAGGAAACCTGTCCCCATCAGCAGTCACGCTCGGAGTTGTTTAGGGTAACTCTGTGTTTAACTGGGGGTAAAAAGCCCCCAGAGGAGGTGGGTCTGGCGGGGCTGGAGTGTGAGGCGAGGTGGGTGGGTGAGAAGGTCCACCTGCGCCTGTCACTTCTGGAACCTCGGGAAGTCTTGAGTGGGTGAGGGACAGGCAGGTCTTGGTGATTCCAGGGCCTCTCTGGTTGAGGGGGGGGGCTAATGTGAGGTGGGGGCCTGGCTAGGCAGGGGAGGATGCGGCCGAGCTGGGGCGCAGAGGGGTCTGGGTGGCAGCCACAGTCTTTGGGGAGCAGACAGAGGCAGGACCCGGGGATACAGGGAAGCTGGGAGCCGGGGGCTCAGCTCGCAGAGGGAAGGGGTTGGTGGAATTTCCCCAAAGGCTGAGAGGCGCTTGTGGGCCAGGTTGGGCTGCTCTCCGGTCCCCATGACAACAGTCTCTTTCTGCCTCCTTCCCCACTCAGCACTGGCCTGCTCCCTGCCCCCAGCCAGGCCTCGGCCACCACCGCAGGCAGAGACAGGATTCCCAATCTGGGGCAGGGCTCCAGGGATGGGGGTGGCCTGTGGAACACCTGAAACGATCTGCGGCACCGTGGGGCTGTGTGTGTGCACGTGCCGGGGTCTGACCTGCTTCCCTTCTACTCCCTGAGTTGTTTGTGACCCGAGAAGCAACACCGATGGCGGTAATCACAGGTGCTAACGCAGCAGCTGTTGCGTCCGGGCCCTGAGCTCATCCCTTCTCCACATCTTCACTGACTCCCAGGCACCGCTGACAAAGGCACTGTTAATAGCGTTCTCAGCAGCACAGAGAGGTTAAGGGACTACCCTAGGTCACACAGCAAGACCACGGAGGAGCTGGGACTCGAACCCTGGCCCTCAGCCTGAGGCTTGACGCTGGCTCACTTTGCTGCCTTGTAACTGAGGTCTCTGACACCTGAAGCCGGGTCTCCGGTTGCTGTCTCTGCTGAGCCTTGACCTCTCCTTCTTTCTCCCCCAGGTTGTGGCTCTCAGCCTGTGGCTCCTTGTCCCCGCTCCCCCCGGATGGCCCTGTGGTGGCCTTAGGGGCCCTCAGCCTTTCTCTGGACCCTGGTCGGGCCGGAATCGCCGCTGTCTCTCCTTCCTCCGCGTGGGTCTCTGGAATCTTCCTTCTCCAGCTGGCCCTGGGCTGGGCTGGGTCAAGCCCGCCTGGAGACGGAGCCCACGACCCCTTTCTCCCACCGAGCCCTCTGCCTGCCGCCAGCCTTCACCTGGAGTGAGGGCACACATACCAAAGACAGAGCCTTTTCTCGCCTTTAAAGAAAGTATATCAGAAAGCAGCCCTCTATCTCGGAGCCCTGGCCCAGGTTCCTGATGGGGCAAGGAGGCACCGTTTCCTTTCCCGGCTGGACGTCAGCTCACCTCCCTGGAACCAGCAGGTCCCCAGTTCCCTGGCATGGAGACGGGTTCCTGTCCTGGCCGGGCTCAGATTTTCCACCTGAAAAATTAGTGCACAGTTGTCTTTTGTGGGGAGAATCGAGGTGCTTTGGGCCCTCAGGCCAGGGCAAATGCTGATGTGGAAGTGGGGGGCAGCCTTGGGATGATGGGGGGTATCCAGGCAACCCCAAGACAACTGACCCGGGTGGGGGTGGTTGTGAGGCCCCCGCCCTCCCAGCTGTCAACCTGCACTGGACACTTGGACTCTGTTTGTAATTAAACCTGGGAATGACCACAGGGCGCGTGAGCCGTCCTGCGCCTTACAAGGCCTTCTCGGGGTGGGGGTCTGGGTTCAGTCTCCTGAACTGGGGGGAAGCCAAGGCAGCATCGGATTTGGCCTCCCCGGGGCCGGAGGAAGAGGGAGCCAGGCCCTGGCTGTGCCCCTGTTTGCGGGGGGGTGGCGAATCCCCCTGACATTTCCCAGAACCTCAATCTTATCCTGAGACAAAGCACACTCCAGCTCCTCTGTTAAACATACCCCCAGCTTCTCTTTGGAAACACTCTATCTCCCAAATGCCAGAAACTTCTTCTGTCCTTCGAGATACCCCCAGATATCTGGCAAAAAGCTCTTTGTTTTCTTCTCCAAATAGCTCCTAACTTGTCCTGAAAGATGGCCTGACTTCTCGGTCTCCCAACGTCTCTCGTCCTCATTTTCCTGAGAAGACCCCAGTTCTCTCTCAGGCTCCTTTATCGACCTCAAAGCCCCTACTTCTCCCGCGTGCCCAGCTCCCTGCTCTGGCACCCGACTCTCTTCTCCTGACCTTCCCTCACATGATTTCTACTTCCCAGGGAGACCCCCATCTCTCCCCAGGACCCTCCTTCAACTCCTCCCACAAACATGGAGGCATCCCTCCCAAGGAGGCACCCCAAGCCTCACTACATCCCTGCCAAGCTGGGCCACACCCCTACCCAGGGTCTGGCTCTGGGGAGGGGCTGTGCTTTCTCTGCTGTCAGCAGGCTCTGTCCCAGGCTGTGGGGGGACCTGGTAAGGGTGTGGGCAGTGAAAGCCACTCTGGTCTGCCTGTAACTAGGGGGGAAGCCATCAAAAGGCAGAGCCAGAAGGGGACTCTGATGCCATGTCTCTTACTTCAGAGATCTGGAGACAGAGCCACCAATCCACCCATCCATCCATCCACCCATCCATCCACCCACCCACCCATCCCTCCACCCACCCACCCATCCCTCCATCCATCCACCCACCCATCCATCCACCCATCCATCCACCCACCCACCCATCCATCCACCCACCCACCCATTCATCCATCCACCCATCCATCCATGTATCCACTCACCTACCCACCCACCCATCCATCCACCCACCCACCCATTCATCCACCCACCCATCCACCCACCCACCCATCCATCCATCCACCCACCCACCCACCCATCCTTCCACCCATCCACCCATCCATCCACCCATCCACCCACCCACCCACCC